TTCTTATATTACCAAAAGTATCTGCTCAGTTATAAAGCACAGTCTCAGCAGAATATACAGGGATGTATGAATATTATATACATGACAATTGGAGTTTATAAATCTTTTATGCATCACTTCCTTTTTGTTGTAATACATCCCATATGTTCCTGTCTGTACTGTTCTTTATTTGGCCCCTCATCTTAAATGTATTCAGTAGGATGTGAACATGTGCCAAATCAAATATTCACTGAAAAAATGTTCCAAAAGACTCCAGAGCAGAAGTGTGAGAAAAAGTGTAGAACTTTTATAGCTTCTGTGCTGTTGCCACAAAACAAAGCCAAATTTTTCCTACTAAAGCTTGTGTTCTCTGACTCGAACTCCTTAAACTCTAAAAACAACCCAATTTTTTTTGTTTCACTGTTATATACATGTTGTCTTTACTTTTAAGTTGCTGAAAAAGGCAAATAACATCTATTTTTGAGCCCTTTTTGTAATTGAAACATACAGTTGTGATCTCCCACTTGAGGTTAACTTAAAGATGGGGTGTCTTCAACTGGCTGCTTTGAAGGCTCTACTTATTCAATGACAGATTTAAGCAGTTTAATATTGTTCAATATTTGGTACCATATAATTTCTGCACTGAGAGCTTTGAGGTTCTGGGTTTTAAATTAAGGGATCGTACAGCGAGTCCCCACCGCAGTGGCTGCCACTAATGCCATGCTGCAGGAACCCAAGGCTTTTCAGGACAGACTCAACCAGGTAGCTTCTCTGTTTTATTGAGCAGCAGAGCTCATTCTGGTTCTCTGTTTTATTGATTGTTAGGTTGGACGCATTTATTACGTCCGCCAAACAGCACAGGAAGTTCTGACCCAATGTAACTTAAGGAAAATAGGCTACAGGCTAATAGATGCGTCCGAACTGAACCACTGAGGCGTTAGTCTGCTCTCCAAATGCTGTTTAAGTCATAAAGGGTCAAATAAAAAGGCTTTTATACAGAAGTTTTTCAGTGAAAACTTTCATAATGTCTCTTTAATGTTGCCTACCCTGCATTGATTACATGCCTCAAAGCTATAAACATCCACCATTTGTCTATAAACCCATTACTTCAATGCATGATTTTGAGCAAGACCCTTAACCCCCACAGTGCTCCCTGGGCGCCCCATGATGGCAGCCCACTGCTACCCGGAGGGATGGGTTAAATGCAAAGAGTGACTTTTTCCAATGTGAGACCAATAAAGTTCAATTATTGTTATTATTGATATTAATCCTAGGAAATTAATTGGAAATGTGCAAAAGAGAATAGCATAAATCAGGAACAACTGGATCAGTCAATCTCTTAAGTAGGGCTGCAACAACGAATCGATAAAATCGATAAAAATCGACTTTTAAAAGCGTTGGCAACGAATTTAATCATCGATTAGTTGTGTCGCGCGATTAATGCGTCATCCGCCGCCACCGTCATCCGGGGAAAGAAAAAAAAATATGGCGGAGCGAGTCGGCGCCGCAGGTGCAGTGTTGCCAACTCAGCGACTTTTCAGACCCCTCCAGCGACTATTTTTCAAAAAAGCGACTAGCGACAAATCTGGCGACTTTTTACGGTGTCACTGGCGGCTTTTGCCTGCCGTGGGGCGCCTCCCCAATCCCAACCCCTTTCTCCCTCTCCCACAGGAATCCCTCTCAGCGCTGCAGTCAGAGCCGCAGGATTTTAGTGAGGAGTTTACCCTCAGCGTCCAGACTGCAAATGAAGCTCGCATGTGCCGGGATTGACGGCGCAAATTGATCACAATAATTAAAATAGCCTGCGCTTTGTAAAGTGAAAAAAGTCGTAACATGCAACTTTTGTAAAAACAAATTAACATGGCGCGGAAGCACCACTGTTATGACGCAGCACCTGAAAAGAAAACACGTTGGAGCCTTCAATGGCAGTGAAGAGAGCTGATCAGCAGGGTGAGCGACATGTTTGTTTGGTTTTAAAGTGGGGAAACATTACGTTAGTTTCTCATGCAGCTCATCTGATGCTTTCCTTACCTTGTTAGTAGGTTACAGACAGTGATAAGGTTGGCTACTTATTTTATTTTTAATTTCATTTGAATTAGCTTAAGCAGCGTTTATATTTTCTTTATAAATAAATTAACTTGCAAATTATGAGGGCAAGGCTTTTAAAGTTTAAATCTTCTGGCAACGATAAAGTAAAGAAGATCCTGCAATTTATGGAAGTAAAGCAGAATAAAATCCAGCAAGATCAGTAATATGTCAATTATATGCCACATTCCCATGTAAATATCTGTCTTTGGCGGATGTGTTTTTTAGCACCCCTAGTTCTCTCATTTTTATTCCAAATACAATTTATAATTTGAACCACAGGGCTATTTTTATCTCTATGGTTCAGTATTTTCTCAAGCAGCAACTTTAACTGCTATGCTTTCCTGTCTTAAAAGGCAGAACTTTTCCAGTCTAAAAAAATGAATTTCTTGAAATGGGGGGGCCTGTTGTTTGAACCCCTTAGGGGCTTTAAAAAACAAAAATGCCTGTCTCTTTTTGCGCTTTATGAAACAAAGTACCCTCTATTTTGTGGATGTACAGCCACATTTCTCATGTAAGTTTGCGTAGTTTTAACACAAACATTTCTTTTTCATATTGCACCATTACAGTTAATGAGCAACCTGTACTTGTGTGCTTGTTTGTTCTGTCTAAAATGTTTATTTTGGAATAAAGAGGTTAATATAAAAAAAATTTTTTGTCCGATTCATCGATTAATCGAAAAAATAATCGGCCGATTCATCGATTTTTAAAATAATCGTTAGTTGCAGCCCTACTCTTAAGAAAATAAAACACCCTTTGTAATTTTTCAGAAACTTTCTTTTTACCGGCTGGAGCCCCTGATATTTTCTAGTCCATCTCTTTTACTTTGCTCTTGTTTCATGTGCCTCATCACCTGTCCTCAATGTGTCCTTCCACTGTTGCTTTAAGTGCAACACTTTGATGTTGTCTGAGTAGCAGTCATAAGGACACAGGTTTGGTTTAAAAGCCTGAACTTTGGCATGAAGTGAGTTAGTGTATAGTCACAAGCAGACGTAAAAGGCGAGGAAGGCTGATTCATCAGCAATTCCATTCATTAGGCAGATTGGTTTATCTCGATTCATTGGTTACTGTGATGACTCCCCTCCTAAATGAGGATGTGGGCTTTCCTCTGCCTCGGTAATGACGATAGTTTGGAATTTCCACATTCAAACTAAATTATTAGTCCATTTTCTTTCTCTATTTGCTTTTGGTCACATTGGGAGATAAAATAGAAATTATACAACACCCTTTTCTTCTATGTTATTTACTGTAAAAAGTTTTAACTTTATCAGCAGAATGGAAATAGATATTGAAGCTGCTAATAAAAAACACATGAGCTTGTTGGTGAGCCTGGGCTTTTGTAAGCCCTGCCAAGTCTGTTCCGCTGTAGCCCTCAGGAAGTTTACTGCTGATTGTGAGAGAAACTGAGGGAGAGAAGACGGAGAGAAAGAAAGAGTGGGGGGTCCCTTTGCTCATGTCTGCATAAATGGAGGAAACTACCAGCCTTGCTTGCGCTTTCACGGGCTAAAGGTCTGGAGCATTCACATGCAGCGCCCCACTTCCTCCTCAGTGTTGTCGTGGAGGGCTGTGCTGTGGACTCCAGATGCTTGATTCAGCAGTCGGGTTGCCTGGTCACATGGTTGTACAACTGTTTATCCAAACTGCTTTTGCATCCAAACACACCTTAAAGGGTTTTTCTGGTTTTTGCAACGCTAAGTCGGATGCTTGCTCTCACTTAAACTGCACGCTGAGGAAATGCCTCTATATGATACCTTGGAAAGGATGAATACATAATCTACCTACCAATATGAAAGTGTAGTTTATCTGCAATAAAATTTTACCAATCTACTTTTAGATTTTTTTAATTTTTTTTCGGGGAAACTGTTGAAACAACTTTTATATTATAGTGTACTATAACTGTCTGTATAATAGCAGGAAAGTCAGTGAGTACGGTTTGTAGATAAATAATGCCACATACAAAACCTCTTTTAGGGGGAGAGATATGAAGAGATGGAAACCAGTAGAGTACGTTTTGTTCCTTCAACTCGGGCCTTAATTTGTCAGAAGGGAGTGGAGCAGCACAGGGAACAAGGACCACATATGACGCACTCCCTGGAATAATCACTACCTGTTAAACTGCAAGCAAGTCTGCGCAATGTCTGGTAGAAACTGTGTGTAACAAACATATCAAAGTTATTATGATCCAGATCTGAAAAAAAAAGCTGCCCAAATGTGTGTTGTTTATGTGTTACTTTAAACCCTTATCATGGTTTCTGCTTTTCCAGCGATGATCTCACGTTTTGGAGGGAAGAGAGACTTTTCTTGTTGCTGTTCAGGTTTCTTTGACCCAGTTCTCAACTTCTTGTAGGGAGGAGGTTTAAGGAAGGAGTTTAACCTAAAGGGGAATGTTTCTAATATATTACCGGATAAAATGAATGTTGACGGTAAACTTTCCCTGCAGGGTTTTTATCTTTGGCAGTATTAAGTGTGCTGGCTTCTCTCTCTCTGGAGCGATAAGGCTTATTTTCTGTGCTGGGGGATCCACTTTAAAGCTTTGAACTCGCTGCCCATTTGTCCCTATGTGCAGTGATAAGTTTGGAGTCCGTCCACGTTGGATAAATTTAGGCGAGAGCCCCCTTCGCCTTGCTCACTTGGAGACGGCGTGTGACAGAGGTTGTGTTTCTACCAAATGGCTTTATCAACTCTCCAAGGGACCCGAGAACTGTTGTGTTAGATTAGTATTTATAGCTGATATTTTTTATTTTTGTAACAGTGAAGCAACATGATCTTCATTATTAATCTGTTTATTTCTCCCTGTAATCATTTCTTGGTATTTTATTACCTTTATACCTTCTAATTTTAATTAATTCCCCCATTAAATTATTTTATCAAAGCTTATTAACTTAGTCCAATAGGTGTAGTTACTAATCTAAGGAATCTTTTTCTTTATTTAACAGGAAACCAGCAGGAGACTATCGTAACTCCCATGTTCCTAAAGACCATAGGAGGAGTCCCAGTGAGCGCATGGTGGTGCCAGGTCCTCTGGGAGTCCAGGGCAACCTGTATGGCCACACCCACCACCACCACCATCATCATCTTCACCTGGCCACCTTAGCAGGCATGGATCAGCCTCTGGCACTTACCAAAAACAGCATGGTGGAGACGGCACGCAGCAGCACAGCAGCTCTGGCCTCGATGCCGCACACAGTCGGCGCAATGGAACGGCAGCAGGTAAAATGCACTTCCTGCTCTTCTGGTTCCAGCACTGAACTCATTCCTCTTTAACTATTCAGTTAGTAATTATTGGAAGGTCCTCCTCATGATGTAAACTGATACTTGATAGGATGAAGATTGTTTTACGTGGTCCAAAATGTGCTATAAAAGTTCTGAAGTTTTCAGCCCTCATACTTTGAATAAGCGACCGTTTTAATTGGATTTGGGCTTGATCATCCCCAACATTTCCTCGAAACCTATTGCATATTTACAGCACAGCATTTCTAGGAATTGTCATTAAACACAACTTTGTTCTGCTTTTAGAACCGTCCATCAGTGATCACATGTGCCGCAGCTAACAATCGCAACTGCAACCTGTCCCAGTGTCCGGTCTCCCACAACGGCTGCTCCAACTTCACCAACAACTACAGAAGAATCAACAGTAAGTGGAAACACATTTTGGAAATGTTTAGTCCCAAGCAACCTGTGATGGAATACAATTTACCATTAAAACCACATCAGTTAATACAATAAAAATCCCAGAAGAACTTTTTAGGTTGCCACTCGGCGTGTCCTCCTCAGGATAATACGTTTCAGTTGAAGGTTCATGCCCACATCAAGGCCCAGTATTTGGTTTAAGAGCCCATTAGGAATCTGGAACATTCATATGTAATGACATAACCATGAAAAATAAACATTTTATCTATTGGAGCTAATATGAAGCATTCAGACGTCTCCTTTCAATGTAACATTTTATTTTTAAAGGCTTTCATTTCCTTGTTTTATCACTTGCTCCGTTGATTTGGGAATGTATTGCTTACACTTATAATATATATATATATATATAGTATAATCTCCTTTTTCATTACTTGTTGAATAACTTTAGAAATGTAGAACCTAAAGAAGCAATAATCTGCTCCCTTAAATTTTTCAGATGTGCCTCAATTAACTTAAAAAAAGTGCTTAAGCTGATATTTTCTCATGAAACATTGAGGCTTTTAATTTGGAATCTACTTTAGAAACAATTTTGAAATATAATCCCTTACTTTGAAGAGTTGCTTTTTTACAAAATGACAATATGATGATTGTGATTCTGATAAACCTTAGGAATTTGAATCCAACTCTTTAATCGTATGAAGTTACTTATTTAAAACATCTGTTACTTTATTTTGACTTCGTCTTTTTAATCGCTGGTTTTGGCAGATTAGAAATTTGGATTATTTGCAGCTCTCTAAACTGCTCTATTGCAGGCCTTAACAACTTAAACATTTTGCTGTTATTTTTACTCTTTAAAAAGTCACTTAGGGCCTCAGCGGCTTTTGGAGAGTGTTATATTTTCTTTGCCGCAGTAAATTTAAAATGTCTGTTTTTTATGATGCCACTGGGAATTTCAATGATCTCACTGAGGTTAACTGGGAAATTTAAAAGGCTCGTTTTATGTATTTAAAGAAAAAGCACTGAGAGGAAAAGTAGATACTCTCAGTGACCTAAAATTACTTGTTCTCAAACTAATTAAAGGCAATAAATTGCCCATAGAAATCATAAAACTGGATATGAGGGGTGCTTTTCTTTTCATCATCTCATTGGTAACTGAGAATTGCTTTCCTTCCAGCCAATACAGCCTGCGACCCTGTTATTGAGGAACATTTTCGTCGGAGCCTCGGGAAGAACTACAAAGAGCCTGAGCCCACTGCCACCAACTCCGTGTCCATCACAGGCTCTGTGGACGACCATTTCGCCAAGGCGCTGGGTGAGACCTGGCTGCAGATCAAAAACAAGGGGAGTCCCTCGTCGTCTGGCAGCAGCCCGAACTCCCCCGACAGTCACATGGTCAATCACAACCACTCCGCCTCTGTAGTCTCTTGAAGAAAGAGAGGACAACCCCCCCCCCCCTCCCATCCACTCTTCCAATCATCTCAGCCCCAAGATCCGTGCTCCTGTCATTCTGTCACCAGCATCCCAGTGGGAATGCCTGCCTGCTGGTCTGTTAACAACAGCCGAAACCCTGAAGCCTGCTCATTCACTGTGGATAACTTAAGCAATAAAGACATGCTCTCCTCCCCTCCATTATCTGCCAGAAAAACAAAAAGACTTGATGTGGAACTCGACCGTAGCATCAAATCGCTCCTTTCCAGTCTCACCATCCCTGCATCGATGGCTTGGAGCTGAGCATGCGTCTGTAGTTTTATGTATATAAAAAGAGAAGAAAGACTGTTTTATTCACTTTCTTTTTTTTTTCATCTGTTAACAGTAGTTCTGTGTACTGATTTTTGTGTTATGACATGCCTGGTCTTTGAACGAAAAATGAGAAACACCTTAGAAATCAATCATAATCCACCATGCCGTGCTACCAAAGAAACCTCAACTGATGTTTTTTTTCAGCGCCAACCTTTAAAAGCACACATGCAACCCCCCCCCCACCCCATCTCCTCCTCCTGTCTGCTGTATCAGAGTTCTGGTAGCTTTGCCGTTTTATGTGACCTTAGCTAAGATCAACTCGGTCTGATTTGCACTACTTTAAAAGGTGACATGTCAGGTTTGTAACTTGACTCTGTGGCTTAAAAAAGTGTATTTTGATGCAATCATGTCTTATCTCACGTGTTGGAAACCTGCATTGATTTCTAAAGACCTCCTGTTTAAAGTCTACTAATAGATTTGTTGACTTTGACGCGTGTGCAATGTCTTGCATATGTTGTCACTTGTACAGATGTTAAGCACTCCATTGAAATTGGGCAGCAGGAACGTTTGGTCACCTGCTAGAAACTAGTTTAACCATGAGATCATGGTGCTTCATTTGGACAGAAGTTAATTATGGAAGGTGGGTGTTGCTGTTTTGAAGCTCAGCTTCTGATCTGTGATCAGTCTCCAGCAACACCTACCTGCAGAATGTCAGTCTGCACTGAAAACCCTCTGTTGACAGAAGAGTGGTTTAAATGGACCCAGTGTTGGAGGAGTCCAGAAATGTGTCCACATCAAGGTGTCATGGATACTGAGAGGGAGAAAAAAAGAATTTGGTAAATTTATCTGTTTTGTAACTTTCTGATGTGGTCAAAGATTACGTGAATAATGTGAGAGCATTGTCCAAAACACTGATCTAGCTCCTGTAGAGTAAACCAACCCTTTAAATGCGATTGCTATCAAACGAACAAAGCAGGAATTTGTTTCCTCCCCATTGTCCTAACTGTTAGAATCACTACCTGAAGGAGGAGTTTAAGGCCGGGCTCCACTGAACCTGCGTCTTTGATGTGTTTCAAAGGCGTTAACTGTTGACGCTGATGAGGGGATAGATGACGCTGAACGTCACTTTGTGGTTTTCGAAAAGAAACGGGAGGGGGGGGGGGGTATCATGATCTCTTCAAACACACCTTTTGTTTCTGTGACTCTTTGAACATCGGTGTTAGAATTATATTTGACTAACACCCTGCTATCTACGTCTCCCCCTCTTACAGACTGTGGTTTATTAGATTTCTAATCAATGCTTTTACAGGTGCATGTAATGTTTTTTTTTTTTATAGCTGGTATCTATTAGGGTTTTTAGCATTTCAAGCTCAACTATTAACCTTTTTTATTTTTCATTCAAATGTTACTACTTTTGTTGTCAAAAACAGACTACCGATACTATACACTCACTGCTGGGTCAGTTGTACTCAATATTGTTGTTTTTATTATACCTTTGTTTTTTTCTGTTTGTTTTTTTTCATTAATATTAGTGTGGTAACAAACATCTATAGTGGGACAGCCTCCGGACAGGCTCTGCTAAGTGACACAAGCTTTTCTTTCTTAAAACCTTCTCAGCCTACTGTACATCTAAGGTCATCATGTTGGGTTTGGTTCTGCTGCTCTTTATGGTTTCCATAAGATGTTGATCCATTGCTCGTACAGGACTTTACAGACTTCACAGAGCTGACACACAAGTTGTAAAGACACAAGTTGATAGTCATAGGGGCTTGGATGCTTTTGGTGGTGCAGTGTCTTAAAAATACATTACATCTTATTGACACTAAAGCGTTTAAACAGAAAACCTGGATTTGGCAACTTAAAAGCTTTCCAAGGTCAGCAGTTAATCTGAATTTACATCAATGCTGCAGCTCTTACTGCCTCCCTCACTAGACTTATGTAATTTAATGCTTTCTTTATAGAAGAACATTTTTTCCTGCAGCCTATAGTCATCAATGATCTTCACTAATACAGCCTGCACCATGGTGGCATACATTCCTCCATTTGGGAACTTAATGTACAGGTGCTGGTCATAAAATTAGAATATCATGAAAAAGTAGATTGATTTCAGTAATTCCATTTAAAAAGTGAAACTTGTATATTATATTCATACATTACATACAAACTCATATATTTCAGATGTTTATTTTGTTTAATTTTGATGATTACAAATGACAACAAATGAAAATCTCAAATTCATCATATCAGAAAATTAGAATATTGTGAAAAGGTTCAAAATTGATGGCCCCTGGTGCCACACTCTAATCAGCTAATTAACTCAAACCACCTGCAAAAGCCTTTAAATGGTCTTTCAGTCTAGTTCTATAGGCTACACAATCATGGGGAAGACTGCTGACTTGACAGTTGTCCAAAAGACGACCATCGACACCTTGCACAAGGAGGGCAAGACACAAAAGGTCATCGCTAAAGAGGCTGGCTGTTCACAGAGCTCAGTGTCCAAGCACATTAATAGAGAGGCGAAGGGAAGGAAAAGATGTGGTCGAAAAAAGTGTACAAGCAAGAGAGATAACCGCACCCTGGAGAGGATTGTGAAACAAAACCCATTCAAAAATGTGGGGGAGATTCACAAAGAGTGGACTGCAGCTGGAGTAAGTGCTTCAAGAACCACCACACACAGACGTATGAAAGACATGGGTTTCTGCTGTCGCATTCCTTGTGTCAAGCCACTCTTGAACCACAGACAGCGTCAGAAGCGTCTTGCCTGGGCTAAAGAGAAACAGGACTGGACTGCTGGTGAGTGGTCCAAAGTCATGTTCTCTGATGAAAGTAAATTTTGCATTTCCTTTGGAAATCAAGGTCCCAGAGTCTGGAGGAAAAGAAGAGAGGCACTTCATCCACGTTGCTTGAAGTCCAGTGTAAAGTTTCCACAGTCAGTGATGGTTTGGGGTGCCATGTCATCTGCTGGTGTTGGTCCATTGTGTTTTCTGAGGTCCAGGGTCAACGCAGCCACATACCAGGAAGTTTTGGAGCACTTCATGCTTCCTGCAGCTGACCAACTTTTTGGAGATGCAGATTTCATTTTCCAACAGGACTTGGCACCTGCACACAGTGCCAAAGCTACCAGTACCTGGTTGAAGGACCATGGTATCCCTGTTCTTAATTGGCCAGCAAACTCTCCTGACCTTAACCCCATAGAAAATCTATGGGGTATTGTGAAGAAGAAGATGCAATACACCAGACCCAACAATTCAGAAGAGCTAAAAGCCACTATTAGAGCAACCTGGGCTATCATAACACCTGAGCAGTGCCACAGACTGATCGACTCCATGCCACGCCGCATTGCTGCAGTAATACAGGCCAAAGGAGGCCCAACTAAATACTGAGTGCTGTACATGCTCATACTTTTCATGTTCATACTTTTCAGTTGGCCAACATTTCTATAAATCCTTTGTTTTTATTGGTCTTCAGTAATATTCTAATTTTCTGATATGATGAATTTGAGATTTTCATTTGTTGTCATTTGTAATCATCAAAATTAAACAAAATAAACATCTGAAATATATGAGTTTGTATGTAATGTATGAATATAATATACAAGTTTCACTTTTTAAATGGAATTACTGAAATCAATCTACTTTTTCATGATATTCTAACTTTATGACCAGCACCTGTAGGCCTCAAGCATGCCCTACATCTCAGAGCGTGTTTCCTACACACTGCTTTCCTCTGCAGATTTGCTTCAAACAAAAGGAACAGACTTGCTTTGGTGCCATAACATTTTCTAACACTTTTAAAGTTTTTGCTTGAGAGACCTAGACCTATAGTAGTTGTTTGGAGAATCATTTCATGTCACAGAATTAATAGACGATGAGGTTTATTATTTTTTTGCTTAGTGATGAGTTTTTGGTAGCAAGTAAGGTGATCCTACAAAGTTCCTATAAAGGAAGGTGTTCTCTGGATTGTCCACACATTCCTGCAATCAAAACGGATTTGATGAGGACAGTGTCCCAAGGGTTTGTTAGCTTAGATTAAAGAGATCATGATCACTTTTACACGCTTTGACAAGGGAGGTGTGCCAGGCAGGCTGGGGTGGCAAAGACTGAGCTGCAGGAGCTGTGCTTTTGTAAGCGTAAGGTGTGAGTCACAAGATATTTACCTTCCACCTAAAGACTGCAGTGCTGTGAAAAACCTGGTCCCATTACAGATTGCTTCTGTTTTGGCTATGTGACACACTTTGTCAATATCTTAATATCAGACAGAAAAACCAGGGTGTAAATTGTAGGAATAAAGATAATGACACTCACCTGTTGGAAATGAATTAGTCTTTAAACCTACAACCTTTGATGCTAACCAATGGATGAGCCTTTCATCCAAACACTTCCAAAAGATTTTATTTTATTTTTTACAATTATGCACTCTTGGAATAATGCAGAATGCTTTTGACATGGCGTACTCTGGCTAGTAATTCATATTTATGTTCGATTTACCCCTGTTGTCTGTCTAATAATAAAATTAATTTGATCTTAAACTTTTAAATGTGACAAAAAAGCAGAAGAATTCTGTAACAGGGTAAATGTTTTTATTCAGCACTGTATTCAGGGTCTCATGGCGATCCCCAACCACCTTGCTAGAAAACGTTGAGGGAATGAGTGGAAGTCCAGAAATTTTTATTTAGTTTCTCATCATTTCACTACCACCCTGTAGGCAGGAGGTGTGGGCTTTGCTCGGGCTGGCACTCCCTACACTCTGTAGGAAAATCACTTAAAATACTTTTTTTTTTTTTTATATATTAGGTAATTATGAGACCATCATTACGCTGTGCGTAACGAATGTACAGAGGAAAAAAATCGTAGGTATTTTTTGAGGAACAATTAATTTGTTAATGATATGTAGCTATTTAATTGTTTTCTGTCCTTTTATTGTAATCATTGCTTTTTCTTTTTGTGAAAAAAGTTGATCTTTTTTGTCAGTAGCGTTTTGTTTGTAAGAGTAAAGGTTCAAGTGCAGGAACACAGTAAATGTATGAAACCACATTACGCCACACACAGGTGTGTTGCTGACAATCGCTACTTCCACTCATCACCGTTCTTCTACAGAAATCAGACATTTGAACAAAGGTTTTAAAGGCCTAAAGTGCTTTTTTTTAGTTAAACATGTGGCACTGATAAAAGCACTTACAATGAGTGTTGAAATCAAATGTTAGCCAAGGTCCAGCTGCAGGTTTGTCTAAACTGCATGTAAGCAATAGAAACCGTCTTACTCCACAGCTGGAAAACCGAAATTACATGTGAATCCCTTATTTTATTCCATTTTCTGAAATGATGTTGGTAAATTAGCTGTGAATCCTGTAATAAATCTGTTGATGAATCAAAGAGGAGGAGTTCCTCACTGTTGATTGCTCAACTTGTTCCCGATCCTATCTTTGAAGTGGAAGTAGCATGTACTTAGTGGTAGTAATACCCTGAACTGTAAGAAATATTGTATCAAAAACAAATTCTGTGGCTTTGTCTCCTACTCAAAAGGTTTTGGCAGGCCACCTTTTTTGTACGTAAAGTAGCCTTGATGAACAATAAAGTGCTTTTAAATCACAGACTGTGCGCCTCTGTCCTTTTCATGTGGTTTTTGTTGAGACGTTTCTGCAGCTGAACAGGGTATGGAAGGATGTAGAGTGCATATAGTTCCATTACACAAAAACCACACACTAATTTAACATTCTTTGATGTTTAACTGTAAGGAAACATTTTATTACAGATTTTAGTTAAATGTTTAACAGAAGTTAATTCACTAAGCTGGACAAAAACAGGGAATAACTTATGGAAATGTTTGTGTTCCAAAAGAATTTAATATACACGTCTGGGTTCATTTTGTTTAAGAGTTTTTTTTTTTTTTTTTTTTTTCCAAAGAAATAACCGGATAAAAGTTTACATGTCTTAACACTCACAGAAGTTTACAGAAACAACAGTGCAAAGTAAAGAATAAACAATCCAGTAAATCTAGACCTCAGGTACTCCTTGATTTGGTTCGCTCTGCAATCCAGCTGCCCAGAAACATCTGTATGCAGGATTCCCCACAGGCGTGATCTGAAAGCTGGTTTTAGTATCAGCATCTCTGTTTAAGTTTGGGTCTCTAAGCAGGAAAACGGATAAATGATCTGCTGAGTCCTCTAAACTTTTTTTTTTTTTTTTTACACCTGAAACTTTTTTCAAGCTGAATAAACATGTTAAACCTCACTGACAGATGAAGCATGTATATTAGGGTGATGGCCTTATGGCATTTTACGACTTTGAAAAATATTAAATGATGCAAACATACATTGTTGTAGACATTAGAAGAAATTCAAGCTCCGTTTGGTTCCATTTTTTGTTAGTATTACCACTTGGGCCTAAAGATGCGCCTTCTGCCCAAAATAAAGAGCACGATGTTTGATGTGAAGGAGTATTTTGGAGTGAAATCTTTCTGCTGCAAGCCTTTAGATGCTCTCATCATCGCTCATGTCCCAAATCTAAAGAGAACAAAGACACAAAAGAAACTTTTAAAAGATAAAAAAAGCAATTTAAAACAAAGAACATGCAGTCTGACAAAGCATTTCAATGTCAAAGATTTTTTTCCCTGGTGGTTTGATGGCTCCAGCAGAAGCAGGTTTTTTGGCTTTAAAGGTGGAAAGTGGAGTTTTCCTTCTTACAGTTGAATCTTATGCAGAGCTCTCAGTTTAGTGTCCGCATGAGTAGATTTCTGGCTTCATATATAGTATGTTTAGAAGCATGAAAACTCCTATGCACACTAGGCTTGTCCCGATCCGATACGTGGATCGGATCGGGACGCCGATATTGGCAAAAAAATGCGTATCGGCAAAGCATGTAAAATGCCGATCCAGACTGCCGATCCAGTTTTAAAAAAAAAATCCGGTCCGTATTTTCCAGTTTCGCCGATTGAAACGATCCATTCCACTATTTTGCGCCAGTGTTCCCCTGTTTTGCATTTTTATTAAAACTTACAGTAATACTTGCACCTTTAACTGTTTACGGTTTTACTGTTCACTGTGCAATTTCAGATTGCTATTCGCAATTTTGTCCAGTTTGTGTTTATCTCTTAATAAACAGGTAAGTTTGTTGTTACCAAGCATTGTGTTTTATTCAATCTCACCTAATTTAGCTGGCTAGATGTTATCAAGAGTACTAAAACCCTTTTCAACATGAGTCTTACAACTAAGGCTAAATACTTTAACTTAAACTTAAATACATGCTCGGATAGGCTGGTATCGGCCAGTATCGGTATCGGAAGTCCAAAAACAATATCAGTATCGGATCGGAAGTGCAAAAACCTGGATCGGGACATCTCTAATGCACACATTTTGTTTTTGTATATTTATCATCATCTGCATGTAATGCAGAAACCTGTGGTAAAAGATTAATACAATAGAAACACAGTTTTATTATAATGTGAATGAATGCAGGGGATTCAAACAGTAAGTAGATAGTTTTACCGATATATTTAGCTAGATAAATGGATTTTAGTTTATAGAAGATAAAGCCCTGCATGCATCAGATATATAAAACCTTTTAGAAGAAATTAATGTTGATTGTTGCAAAAGGCTTTCTGATCAGAAAAGGACACACAAACACAGAGGAACCGGCTTTGCAGGAGCATGTCGGTAAACATAAGTTGCTGTCTCATTGTAGCAGGTTCCTGACATTCCCCTGCTGTAAAACGTAATTCGCATACCTCTTCTAACACTGAGTGGAATGCTACACAGACAAAACTCTGACACACATACGCTGCATTCCACAGCTTTACTACTCAAAGAGCTCAGGCATAAGAAAACAGAGGAATCCCCTACTGCAATAAACATTAATGGGAACATAAAGCGAAGACTTTGTTTAAACGAGACTTTTTCATTTTATAAGCTCTAGATAAAAAGCACTGAAGCTATAGGGTTTATTTTTATTTGAAATTTATTTTGGTATGTGTCCTATGCTGCAAACTGATAACATTTCTTTCATATTACAAAATTGTGTTGTGAGACTCCAAAATAACATTAAAGTGCACATTTTCACCAACCAATGGTATTCTAATGAATTAACCTTAGCTTTCAGACATAGCTTGCATGCTTCTTGGTATCAGTCTTTCACATTGCTTCTTGGTGCAGGTGATTCTCTAAATTGTATTTTCATAAAACCAAGAACTAATTTGAACCGAATAGTTCTCATTCATATAAAGAAGGTGGCTCTTTAAGTGATTCGTTAAATATTTCTAGAACTATTTTTTCAATTTAAAGTCTATTGGTCCCCCATCCATCCTTATAACCAATTAACCTCACAAGCAGGTACCCAGAGAGAGCATATACAGTGAGAACATGCAAGCAGGGTTTTATTTCGCAATTAATCTGAATCTGATTTTAATTGCTATGTTGATGCATACAATAATAAATTTGGTTCCACATTGTGTTCATATAACTGTTATATTCAGGTGTGCTGGAGCAAGAACATACCTAGAATTGTTAGGAAACCAGGTCTCGAGGACTGGACTTGTCCATTCTTTATTTAAATGATAAAAAAAAAAAACCTCTCCATTTTTGAAAAAAAAAAAAATGCTCATGCACAACCCCTGTACCCTTTCCTGAGAGGGAACGCCTATTAAACGTGTGCAAGAGCGTGCACAAGCCCATTTCTCCTCGTGCACGCTCTGTTTAAAAGTTGCTGTTTGCATCGCTAATAAAAGCTTATTTTCCAAAAGAAGATTTGCAATTTTTCCACTTTGACAGACTCACCATGGGTACGTGAGAATGTGGATGAGCACGTAGGACGGGCTTACGTAAACATATCACCAGAATTATTGACGATTAGGAGGACCACTTATTTTGATGATCCACCCGGAAAGAGAACGTCCTCCACTATAAATATACAAATGGAGGAAGCAGCAACACACATGCTTCATGTGAACTTAGGGCAAGGCAGCTGAATGTGCTAATGAATGGGCAAACATACACGTATCAGCGGTTGTTGATACGAGAAAAAAACGAATATCAGCCAAAAATATCTGTTGGTTGACGTATCAGTCTATCTCTAATAAGTCACCTACATATTTATGGGCAATTGTAATGAAAACAGGAAAATCAATAGCATATTTAACACTCACTGGAGAACTTGGTGTAGGATGAGACACTTTTGTTTTTCCTAAAATCATTATAACATAGAAATGTGGATGTAGAAGGGAAACCCACATTAAATCCAAAAACAATTCTACATCATTTTCTTGTTCAAACAGATTTCTACTTCAACGGATTTGATTTCAGTTCAGATATCCAGCTGTTTGTTTATGCTTTAGATGAACTAAACCAAAAAAAGATTACCAAACATCAGACTGAAAGGCTTTAGTGCCAATGAGCAGAGTTGCTTAACCTGTCCTGTTGCACATCAACTTGTCCTGTTTACGGGCTGCATCTGTAGTCTGTTGTCAGAGTGAATTTTTAGGCCAGTGTGGGGAATCAGTGACTAATTCATATCAAAGCTGGACGCCTTGCTCCACTGCAGCAGAGGAACAACTATCAGGACAGAAGCAAAGAACTCTTTGAAAACCAGCGACATTGGAGGCCCTCTCTGGATGGCTGCCATGCCAAACTAAAGCCGCGTTAGTTCTTGTGTGTGTGTGTAATCTTTTGTGCAAAGAAGGTCGGAGTGAGTGGGAGTTTTGAGTTAAGGGGAGGTGGGTTGGGGAGGATTATGTAACATGAATAGCTCGAGCAAACTGAAGCCAACAACTTTACGCCACCGGTGAATAGCTGGGATGTTTCTCAAGCTTTTTTTCTCTATTAGTGCATTGATTAAGCAGTTTTCCTCAAATCCCAAATCAGCTCTAGCCAATTAGTAAGCTTGGTGATTTTACAAAGCTTAGGTTTACAAATAATGCTAATCTGATGAAAAACAACACACACAAATATAAATAATGAACTCTGTTTTTTACCAACCTTCATCCCCAGAGACAGCTGCTTAGCCATTCAATAGAAAGGGCTCAGGTGTTACATCAGAGAAATCCTTTCAAAACATTAACAGCTCAAGTTTTCATTTTCAGTTTCTCATTAATTAAAAATAAAAACTGGTATACAGAACTATAGATGTATTTTTGATCAAAATATTAACCAAACTAAACAGGAAACCCTTTTTCTTATTTCTCAATGAGTTCTTTTACCCTATTTATCGGTTAGAAATATTTCTGAGTTCTGCTCTCATAGGTATTCCCATTCTGATGGAAACAACCAGACAAGTCTCAGGATAACGGGAATATCTGCTCTGATCAACTGGCCTGTCATCTTCACACCTTCACTTAGTGTGGGTCTAAAAATATTAAAACAATAGTGACAAAGTTTAATGTTTTATAATGTCCAGTAGTGAACTGCATGTCATTTTTGTGGGAAATTATTATAAGTGTAATAATCTGGGCTCTTGCTGATGTGACAAGCATAATCCAGGCTAGTTGTTGAAACAGCGCTGTGATCTGATGAGATAGAGGAGGTTTTAGCTGCAAGAAGGGGCTGCTAAAAACACAGCCAAGCTTCTGCTGCTGCTGATTACTGCTCGCCCATAAACACAACCAGCCCCATCAGGAAGGGTTCCTGCAGTATTCACCAAAGCTCCAGAAACATCATTTTTAAAAGCCAGAACTCCTTTTTATTTCCTATGCTTTGAATCATTCATCCAGGGGAGGATCTTCCTCAGATCTTTGTAATTCACTCCTATTGCCACTGATTACTCAGTAGTGTAGCTCATTTAGCAAGCTGTTTTAAAACCCTGAGCCTTCACGCAGGAGTACATCCTATGTGCGGGTGGCCCCATTGGGGCTCCAACCTCTGAAGCCATTCAGTTAGGGAGCGCTACTCAACCACTCATAGAGTAGGCTATTAAAAACACATCTGCTTTACATATTAGAACTGACACCAAAGCGCAAAGTCAAGCTTTCATCATGGAGACTGGCTCCATCTCATATGCAATTAGAGGACCACACAGAGTGATGTGGTTTGAGGCTGCAGAGCACAACAAGGACCGAGTGCTGCTGGTTTAAAAAAAGAAAAACAAGAAAACATGTAAGCTGGGAAAACCACTCACTCTGGATTCCTGTTTGTTGTCTGTAAATGGGTTTGTGAATTTTGTACAAAGCTAAATTAAGCAGTTATATCTGTCATTGAACACAGAGGAACTCCTTTGAAAAAGTGGTGATGCAACATCAGACAGGGAGAAGGTTAAAACCGAGATTCCTCCAGGACTCAGGACTTTTTTCTTCCTTTATTTATTCCTTTAAAAGCAGGAAAGTCCCACTGAGATTATTAATCAAAATTTTTAAGGGAGTCCTGACCATTTTATTTGTTATTATAATGCGGTTTCATTTTTTTTTTTATACTCATTTTAAATTATTGGTTTGTGCTGAACACTTAACAGCTTTTAGAACCTGTTATATCCTTCAGAACAAGTAATCGTTTTTAGAACCATTAACAGTCCTTAGAACCTAACT